GGACGGGCCCCGACCGGCTCTACGCGGGCGCAGGCGCCGTACCCCGCCGACCGACTGCGCGAGGTGTGAGCAGCGCCTTTTTCACAGCTGTAGCCGTGAAAAGGCCCCGTAGGACGACGGCCTCTCCGAGTGCAACGGAATGCAGCACTACCGGCATGAGGGTGGCGGCCGCCGCCCTCGCCACCCCCTCGCCATCGCCGAGGGCTCCCGACGCTCCACCGCCCCACCCGCGAGCCATGCCATGTCCCGCCACGCCGCGCCGCAGGTCCTCCGCCGCCTCGGCCACTCCCAGCCAAAGTCGGAGCGCGGCAAGGCGATCAAGCGCCTCTCGCGGGTGCTGCTGCGCGGAGGCAAGGCGGCGCTCAGCCTCGTGCCCAGCCCACTCCGCCCAAGGTCTGCGGACCCCCAGTCGTATGCGCACCTCTCCTCGGCCGCCTCCCTCTCCGCCCCGCCCTCCACGGCGGTGGGCGACCGCACGGCGCCGCAGATTGCCGCGTACGAGGCGAGGTCGGAGAGGGAGGCGGCCGAGCTGTACCGCGCCCTAGATGCCTCGAGGTCGGATCTGCCTCTAGCGAGCCCTCGAGAGTGCACTGGTGCACTCTCCTCCGCCCACTGTTGTCCTCCGTACTCGCGCCGTGCATATTCGCAGTTTGTGTCTCGGACTCCGTTGCACTCACGCGCCGACGTGGCCCCGATTTGCCACTGCAGGTATCGCTCCCTGGCGGGAGAGGAGCTGCAGCAGAGGTGCGGCGCCGCCCGCCCGACTAGCTAGCTGGCCGGCAGTGCGAGACAGCTAGCTAGGGAGGCGGCGCGGGCCACGCTGCTCGATTGCAGCGAGGCGGGGAGGCGGGGAGGCGGGCGGAGAAGGGGGGGGGGGGTCCAGTCACACCTCGCCAGCTCGGGGCAGCCGAGCGGCGGGCCACGTGCGCCTCCTCCCCAGAGACGGTCGACGCGGCCAGAACCCGCCTCGCCGCAGGGCCGTCGTCGAGGACGAGTCCTCTCTCCTCGCCACCTCCGCCTCCCCGCCGACGGCCTTTCGTGGCGTCCCTCCCCCGATCGCCACGGCCGGCAGGGCGCCGCGCCGCCGCGAGAGCTGAGTGCCGCGGCTCTCACCCTGACCCCACCACGTGCGCGTAGGCGGACAGCCGCGGCGGGGACGGGCGCGAGTCGGGGTGGAGCGTGGCGGGATCGATCGAGTCGTTGGTGCCGCTACGCCCTTGACCCTAAAGCCTGGCCTGTCCCGTGACCTCACCATCCTCCCCTCCCCTGCAGCCTCCTCTCCCCTGCAGCCTCCTCTCCCCTGCAGCCTCTCCTCCTCCCTGACCCTCAGCCGGGCAAGCCCCCCATCACCCGACCCACCCCACCACCCACCCCCCGCGGCGGCTCCAGAGGGCGGGGTCTGTGGGGGTAGGTGGCGCTGCAGCGCTCCACCTCGGAGCAGATGGGCGCGCTGCAGAGGCGCGGCGCCACCATATTTCGCTCCCCCCCCCCCC